TATATATATATATATATATAAAGAGAGAGAGAGAGATCTGATGGATCAAATCACTGGTGCACCTCTCAACGACATTACTGAATGAAGGTTGCATTGCAATTGATGATCATGTCTCAAGGAATTCGGATTTCTGAGCAAAGGAATTTATTTCAAGTGGTGTTACTTTTAAACAATGCGCTTGTCATTACATTGCGATATTTTTAAATGTCTCATAACAGGTGGCAGTTTAGAAGAATATATTGTATGGATTGAAAAAATAATAGAAATACAGCAGAATTTTGAAAGTTTTTTATCAATTTAATTCTTAGATTGATAACCAATTTTCATAGACATTGCCTCTTTTAAGTAACACAACATTCATCTTTGTACACATATTGAGAAGTTAAACGTAACTGCGTTGTAATTTCTCAATTAATAATATCATAAAAATTAGTTTCGAAAACTTTTTTCCATCAGAAATTTCAGTTAATCATTTTACTTCAATTCAGAACACCGCATAATACTATCAATGTATCTGCAACGCATTAAATTAAACTTTAAAACCACAGAGGAATTTATTATTTATTTTATTTCATCTGGAATTTAAGAAAAATAAGCGCTTTGTTTCAATTGTTTGCACTAAATCAAAACACCGTATTACATTGACATATTTCCTGAAAGTTTACACAAAAAGCAATAAATTTTTTAGACACATTTATTTAAGAGTTTTTATCATTGCTTGTACCAGACCTAAAGCGCTATCAAGCGTTTACAAAAAAATTTCAGATTAATAATCAGTTGTAGTATCATAGAGAAGTAAAAGCAAAACTTCTTTCTTTTCCTCTCATTCTTTAAATCTGGTATGGCCTGATTATATGAATCTGAAAGTGAAATTAATATTATTGAATTAAATTACAAAGGAAGTTTAATTACTCACTAATCAATTTTTTTAAATTTTTTAAAATTTATAAACCTGTATAAATCCAGAAAAATAAAAAAATTATATATATGTACAAATAAATTTTGCATTGTTTATATATACGAAAATTCCTACTTTGCAGATCAAGTTTGTAAAGGTGGTACTTTAAGAATGATGATTATTGAGTTGTAAAATGTAAGCTTTGAAAACGTTAAATATTTATATTTCAATTAAAACAAAACTTAGTTTACTATATCTACAGTCAATTCGTTGTACTAGGTCGAATAATATATAAATAAATTTCCTGCGTTTATAGTTTTTGCTCCTTTTAAATTAATATCAGATAGGAAGACAAAACAGGTTGTGGTATGTTTTCGGTCAAATGCAATATTCTTAAAACTAAGTAAAACTACTTCCAATGTTTTTAACACGGGTAATCTGAAGTATTGAAAAGCTGTAAAAAATAAAAACTCCGCTTTGATTATCTTTGAGTGTAGCTTTAAAGTATTGCATTCATATTCAGTCATTTTATATTTCCTTCAGTAATATAATGATATTTTACTTTAACTAATCAAGAAATTAAGCCTATATGAATGTAAGAGTAATTTTATGCAGCATTAAGAAGCATAAAAAATTTTCCAAATAGTTTTCTTTCTTAAAAAATAATGAAAACTATAACACTTACTTTTCAAGCTTAAAATCTGCAAATATTTTCCTAAAATATTCAAATATTAAAAACAATAATTAATGATTCTCTTACCAAACACTTTCATGCAACATATTGTTTAGAATTTTTTTAGAAAATTTCTATACAGCTAAGTAATAAGTTATATTTAAAAAGAATGTAAAAACACTTATATATTTATTTATAAAACTATTTTTTTCCATCTGGAATTACTTACATCCAAGAACAGCTATAAGTAAATAACAACATAATTAAATATATCAACTCTAGATGTGTTGAGCAACTATTTAACAAAAGTATATATTATAGATCAGTTTTTATTTTAATGAGCAACAGTATTTCTTTTCCTAATAATACACTGTACAGCGAATTTGGAAATCAAACATTTTTAAATTTAATAAATGCTCTGAAATTTGTCTAACTCAGAAACTTTTTATTTTTCAAGGAAAAATCTTTCAATATTTTAATGTATCAAAAATATACAATTGATACTCATTAGCCAATTTTTCTTGCCTAAATTGAAGGTTAAATTGTTATTATCCGGAAGATTGTCATGAACTAAACAGTATTGAAATATCAATATTCTATTACTTTTCTGAAATATTTTTAAACTAGCTTTTTATGAGCAAACTAATGTCAACACTTTTGAAAAATATCCATATTTATACAGATCAGCTAATACCATGCTTTGAAATGTTAATGTTATATGTTAATATGTTATGTTAAAATTTAAAGTTCAATGTTAATAAGTCAAGTGTTGTTTCGCAAAATCAAACACTAGTAGTGACACATAGTAGAATAATCTTAATGACACCTTTAGCAGATCTACTAAATAGAAGCAGAATAAGTTTGAGAATTAAAAGAAGTGAGTTTCAGAATCAGAATCAATTTTACAGCGTATTTTTGATCATTATAAATCAGAATACAAACCGAGGAAAAATTGAGGTAAAATTACCGTACACTATGACGACATTTCTGACAAAAAGAATAACATAATTTTTGTGAAATCTAAATTATACGTTATTTATATCACTCATTTGTCAATTTTTCCGTTCACTTGATAACGGCTTACAGGAAATTATATATATTTTTCTAAATTATAGTTTTTATTATCATGCATTAATGAAAAATGCAAAACTTTTCAGTAAGTTTAACCACATAAATAGTTTTTATGCTGCCAATTACCAAATTTAACCACAATTATCAAATTTTAATACATATTGTAAAATCATATTTTATTATTACTTCCATCAAAATCATGACGGAAGCGTTTCGGTGAAAATAACAGAGCCTTTTGTTGTTTCCATAGAACCAGAAACATAGTAAGTTTTGACATATTCTAGTAATTTTGACCGCATTTTTTTCCTCGATTAAAGAACATTGCAGTAAAATCTCATACATTTTTGAAAATGAAGTTAAGCCAAAAAGAATTACGTTTAACATTAAAAACAAATCAAGTGTTTGTGTTTCTGTAAAAAAAAAATTTTAATGTGATGTATAAAAATAAATGTTAATAGAAAAATAAATGACGAAAAAGGTTAATAAAATATTCATTTCAAAATTCTTCTAAATTCCTTAGTTTATAAATAATGCTACATATATTAGAAAAAAAAGAAGGAGAGAGGAAAAGAGATCTTTACTTACTGTCAGTAATTGGTCTAACTGCAAAAAAAAATATTATGGTTTAAAACACTTATAACAGTAGACTTTTAATGTATTATTAAGTTTTTTTTGCATTTAAACTAAATTTAAAAATACATTATACTAATTTATAATGGTATACATTTCAAAAACTGCTAATTTTTTATTTTTAATCAGCTAATGCTACAACTGCGTGCAACACAAAAATAGGTGTCTTTAAAATATACTCTTTGAAAGAATACTAGCATTTTTATGAATTTCAAAATAATGTTCTTATCTCTCTATTCTATTCCCTATTCTATTCTATTCCCTATGAACTTTTATATTATTTATTACATTTACAATTATTATATTTACAATTTATTCTGAAAGGAAAATATGAGAGCCATAACATAATTATTGAATTTATGAATTTTAGAAATTTGATGTAAGTTGTTAACTCTTTTCTTTGTCGGATTATTTTTCTAATTTCCAACTCAAAAAACTTTTTTTATTGCTTGAAATCAAATATTTTCTAAATTCAAAAAACGCAAAATGTTTTTGTCAGCAAGCAGGTTTTTGCTTGACCTATTGGTGGTGAGATATGTGATGACCCGTCCAGTTATCTCCAGTTTTCCCTGCAATACACCTAAGTTTTTATCTAAAAAATACATTGTGATAACATATTTATTAACTCTATAGCTTTAAGGTGCTTAAGATAAATATCTGCATTAAATATTTATTCAAATTAAGCAAAAAATATTTTGGAAAATAATTTTCCAACCTTACTTTTAATAATTTTCCAACCTTATTCATCATAATAATTATGACATCCAATGGTAATAGTAATGAAAGCGAAATTACAGAAAATTAAGAAGGATTTTAATTTCAATTCAAGGCGAGAAATCTCACAGCGAAAATTGAGAAGTAAGTGGGATCTTCAGCATCTCTTAGCATTATTCAGAAACTCAAAAATAATCGCGGGATAGACAAAAATAATCGCGGGGGACGTGTAAGAAGCAACAAACTCAATTTCATCGATGTACTTTTCCTCTTCGTTGCATGCCATGCGACGCCAACCACACTGGCATAAAAACACCGAACGTATGAGGTATGAAGCAGACAGAGAGGGTAAATATTCCTACCTTTTGGAATATAATTTACAAAAAAAAATCTAGTTTTAATAAGATAATAACTATCTGTTAGGCATACAATTCAACATTTTATTTTTCAATTTAGAAATTAAAATATTAAATCAAAATCAACATTTTCATTTTTGTAACATTAGCATTCTAAGAGTTCTCTTTTTAAATTTCGGATGATTCCTTGAGTTAGGTTGTTGCATGTAAATCAGTTGCTATTGTGATAGCTATTCTGGAAAAATAATGACGATGAAATAAAAAAAGTGGCTCAGATTCAATTTCTGTAGAATTTGCAGGAGAATTATAATAGTCGCAGAGGTTATCACTATCGCTTATGCAACGCATGCATTAATTATCAGTGCTCTTCTCTTTTATTGAAATTATTTGTTGCAAAAAATTCAGATACTACCATGGCTTTCAGAGAGTGCTTTATTGTGTTATTTTCAAATTGTAGAGGAAATTCATCATGAAAAGTGTTTTTCAATATCTTTCAAACAATGGTATTCAATAGTTTCTTGCTATTGATAGTTTTTCCATTATGATTCTTATGATTTGTATTCTTTCCCAGATGCATTTGTCATTTATAAGGGACACTTCTCTTTTATTTGTCCCATTTTCAGATTTTGTTTGCTTTCAGCACCATACTCGAAAGATTCGTAATTATAAAAGATGTTCTTTTAGAAACTGTTTAAGTTCAGAATTAAAAGACTTAAATATCTCTCTGTCAGAACTTGACGAACCAAGACGCTAGTTGCTTAGGTAGTCGTTAAAATAGATTAAAAAAAAACATTAGTTACGATTGCAGGAAAAAAGTTCAAATTAAAGTTGAAAGTAAAATTAAAGCCTTATTATAAATTCAGTTTAGAATGAGAAAATTGATGAGGTTGAAAAATTAAAAAAGTTGAACCAATTTTGCAAAAATGTACGACACTCATGAACTGTGCTCATATTGATATATTTTAAAAAGTATCCTTGGAGAATACGCAAAATTTGTAGTCTATAAATGATCATTTTAAGCTTATCTGAAGTGTAAGTAAATAATACTTATCAAAATTGATGTTTTATAGTCTTTTTTAACTTCATGTATACCATTCTATTAAGCTGAAGATATGTACAGGAACGTTGTTAAAGCAGTCGTAACCACCGTATATTTAAAAAAAAAGCTCTCCCCGATGGCCAATTTTTTAAGAATGGAGCATCGTTAAAAATATAACACTTCTTTCACTCCATTCTTTTATTTTTTTGTCTTTAAATGCTCTTTAGTAGTAAACTGATCAAATTTCAAGTTATTTAGACAATCCTTTCCGAATTTCGCAATTAAACAGTTAAATACATCAAGAGGAGCATAATTCATGTGTTCATGAAATTTTCACAAAATTGCTTCCAGATTTTTCAATTTTGTTTTCTCAACAAATTCTTATTTAGTTTATATCTATCTTATTCAGTTTTATAATCGGACTTTCACTTTTTCGCTTGACTCTAAAATTTGACTTCCACTTCATCTTCTCCTATATAGCTTTTAAAAACAATATTTTACGGACATAAAATGGTATAGCACCTAAGTTGTTTCACCTGCATTTTCTGTATAAATTAAAACTCTTGGCTCATCAGGCCCTAGTTAACAAATATATGGATTAACTAAATCTGAATCAGAAAATCTATCTAAGCCATTATTTTTTATCATTATGCACCTCTTAGACATGGAACTAAAACAAATCTAGTATGTTTGCAAATGAGACAAATAAAAAAAAAGGACACACTTTTCATTAACTCACTTTGTAACAACAAATTTAACACAAAAGTAAAATAAATCAAAAGAATCCGAATGGAAAAGATATCAATAGCAAGAATCTATATATCATCATTGTTTCGAACACATTGAAAAATCCCTAGATTTTAACTCCCTCATTGTCAAATAACACAGGGAAAGTATTTCAGCCCTATGAAAGCCAACGCCTGATAAGAAAGAATTTCTTTTCTACAGATACGTAGAATTTCAACGAAAAGCGCAAACAATAAGAATGAATGAGTACATCCCGCTCCTGTCATTCTGTTATCAGTCCCCTATAAGTTCATATCAAAAGAAAATGAACCTGAACATGCAAATAACTCCTTTTTCTACTCAAACATCAGTATTTTTCTTGTTTAAATATCTTAATAACAACTACATGAAATGCACTGAACATAACCCAGTTATAAAATGAAATTTTGATTCCGATACCTAACAAACGACTATATTATCCTTTTAAAAGCTTGTAAGTATTTTAAACGAATTATAAAAATTGGAAATGTGTTAGTTATTTTTTACAAACATAATAAAACATTACAAATTATATCAAATTTCTAAAATGCATGGAAAAAGTCTAATAATTTCGGACCAAACTAAATGCAAAAAATACTTCATAATGTAAATTTTTAATGTAAAAAAAATAATATTTGTCGAGCTTTAATTGCACATTAAATTCAAATTCAAAGTACATATTCCATTTTAGAAAAATTTGCATGTAAATGGTTTACTTAATATTTAGGCATAAAAAGAGGTTTGAAAAATATTTTCCGCATTGGACACAGTGTATTTGTTACAATTTATATTTTAGTGGCGTAATTAAATAGCAGCTGAAAATAACTTAACAAAAATAGTATATTTGCATTTAACTTACCTTTTATTTTTTCTATCTTTCTTTTACAAAGTTAATATTTAGATCAATTAAAAATTCTTCTATTTACTTAGTGAGCTATTCAAATATAATAGTTTAAAATTTATTCGATTTAATTTTTACATTTTGACATTTTAAAATAGGCTTGAAAAAGCTAAATATTTGTATTTTGAAAAAAAAAGAAATAAAAAACTAAACGGCTCTAGTAAAGCTCAAATAATTGCGCAATACGAACATACTATATATTAACAAAATACTTTCTTAGTCACAAAACAATAACTGACAGAATGTTACAAATGGAAGGTTTCCATCATTTTGTTTTTTAAGACTGTGAGAAGTTTTTGCTTATACAGCCGTAACTAAAGTTAAACCAAAATTTTTGTATATTGCATACTGTAAAAGTAACATTTTATTTTTTTTTTCAGTTTAGTATTACTTATGATTATATAAGATAAATTTTATGCACTTGAAAACAACAAAGAAATAAATTAAATATTATTACGTGGTGGTAAGACTTCTGCAAGAGAAAAAGAAAAATGATTCAAAACCAAATTTCAATTATTAGATAAGAAAACAATTCTTAAATAAATATCAAATTTCGTAGAATTATTATCAAATATTTCATAGCTATATACGAATAAAAACTTTATTAAATTTCTAAATACCTTTTCAGCTACATTAAGTACAATAATTTAACCATTACTGTCACTTTAGTTATATGAAGAATTATTAACATTCAATAATTAGATTAAACGTTTTGCTAAAATTTTTGTTGAAAGTATTTTAATAACTGTATCGATATTAAATTTTGAATCTAAGCTCTGTCATACAATTCAAATTCATTTTAATGTTCTTTTACTAAATAAAAATAATTTCCTGAAAAGAATTCAATATTTTTTTAACTTTTAAAACGAACTAACAAATTATAATTTATGCCATAAATTTTTTTAACACAAGTTAAAAGATAATATTATTTTCTGCACTTATCTAAAATTAGATAAATTAAACTGAATACAAATCGATGGTAAATCTTATCTTTCATTTTTTTCAACTTTGTTTAGTACAGCTCAGTCTAATGAACATATCCAATAATCTAATGAGTATATATAGTTGAAGTAAAATAAATATATATGTTGGTGGCTTATAAAATAAAAGTATCAAATCTGAAATAATTTTTCTCATAAATTCTTAATTTTAATCATCGTATTATTTTGCAATTTTTTTCAAGAAATATGCAAAATAATAATTTCTGTTTTTCTATCTCTATTCAATTTAAGTTATAAATATAATAATAATGAAAATTGAAGAGAAAAAACTATAAAATACAAAATTCCCAGTTTCAACAGTCAATCAGCTAAAGTCACAACTGAAAAAATATAGGAAGAATATTTTAAAATGAAATGAATTAAGCAAGTTATTTGCTCATAAGGGAACTGAAAGGAACACCACAGGAGAAAACCGAAAGATACTAATCCTGAATATCACCTCACGAAAACCACAACAGAAGCCGAAAAATTTGAAACAGAAATAAACATGCTAAAAATCAGAAAAGAAAAACACAAATGGATGCACTGACATACATGGCAGCTTTGTCAGGGGAGCATTACCATTACGTCTGTGCGGGAGCAGTTTCTACAGTTGGTGGTAAATTACCCCAAACAACCATAGTTCCGACTGTTCAAGGAAACCACAAGAAACAGAAGAAGAATATATATATATANTATATATATATATATATATAAATAGAGAGAGAGCAAAGTTTTTCTAAACAGTTCCTTTAATCAAAATAACTTCTTCAAGAAGCAGCAATGCCCCTCCCCTCTATGCATTCAGAGCATTTTTATATAGTTCAGCATTTTGCTATTCCAATTACCTTGTAATTCAATTTCACAGTTTTTTCAATTTGATTGCATCTCATTCTACAGAAGATTTCAGTTTGGCAATGATGCACTTTCAATGATTATTCCTACAACCTTACATAATATGATGCAATAATCCAAGCTTCGGGGTAATTTCTTTGGAAAATTAATGTAAGTAGCAGATTTTTAATAGGTTTGGTTTCAAAGAAGTATTAAAAATTTATAAACATTAGAGTATTGAAATTAATCAATCAGCTATAGTGCTCATAAGTTCAATTTCATTAACACATAAAATAAGGAGAGTTTATCTTGAATTTACGTATGATCCTAATAATATGTTCTTAATAATCCGATTCTAATAAGTTTGTAAGTATTTATCTTTATTGCATTCAACTAAGAAATAAATTCCTTTAAAATGCAAGAATGCATGTAATGTTTCTAAATAAAGAAAATGGAAAAATTAATTTGAAACATTCATACTTACCCCCAACCACGTTTTTAACTGAAACGAATAAAAATGACATTGCTTTGCTTGATACAATGATCACTAATTCATAAGTTATGTTAGTAATGATATAATAATATTATTACGTAATTATATTACTTATTAATATACTATTATATTACGTATTAATATAATTACTGATTGAGAAATTATATTAGTAGATATATATCAATGAAATATATGCAGAACTCAATTGTCCTCTTTTTTTTTTAATATGATTGAACATTGAATCGTGTATTTTTATCTTGGCTGAAAGTTCAAATGTAGTATTAACCATAGATTTAATATTGTGTTGTAACATATCACTAGTTTCTTCAAAATGTGTTCAAATTATATTTCTCTCTCAATTCAAAACATGGGTGAAAGTGATTAATTCATTGTTTCTCTGGATTATGGCTTTAAACATAAGAAGCGATATCCATTATTGAAAACAAATATCATTATTAATCAAAAACTTCCTTAAAAATTATATTTATCATACCGTCATTAAATAAAACTCCGGAAATTACCTTCAAAATTCTTATCTACATAATTTACTTATTTACTTCAATATTTTACAAGAAATGAATAGTTGTTTATCTATCTATTACATGTTGTTTCTGAAAGCAAAATATTAAATCCGTTCAAAATTTTTATTTGAATTATCATTTTTAACAAAATAGCACTTTTTAAAAAATAAAGGAGACACACACTTAACACTAAAAACACACTTTTAAAACAGTTTTATTTTACCGGAGAATTTTACAAAGCATTAAAACTTTACAATTTTAATATGTACTTGCTTGGTACTATTGCAAACTATGAGTTTCCTTAGAATTTGAGTATATAATCTCAAAACCCTGTTACTTATAAGTTAAAAATGATGTAAAATGAGATGACGAACGAAACTGGTATCGTCGCAATTAGTTAAGTCATTTCCCAATTTAATTCAACCATTGAATTGCAAAATTCAAGAAAAATGCAAGAATTAAAAATTAACTTTATTATATAATAAAATTTCTATTTTAATAGATTTTTTAAGCTTTATTTTTCATTCGATGTATCAGTATGTGAACTAAAAAATTGTATGAAGCCCATAACATCATATAAAAAAAACCATTGTCGATTTACACCATTAATTTGAATTCGTATCTTTAACTTAATTTTAAGATCAGATTTAAGATATACTTAAGTTTCAAAACACAAATTTTATGTTATACATTTAAACTGTCCATAAATTGAACATAAGTTTAAACTGTATATGCAGTTATATGCAGGTCATTTCCATATATTTCCTAAATGTGATAAAAATTACTAAAATAAATTAAAACATTCACTTATTATACAGATTTATTTAACATGCATTCTCATTTGGAGTATATGTACGTGAAATAAGGAATTGGATTTGAAACTTTAAAGTAATTGTGCATTAATTTATATTTATTCGTATTCTCTGTAACGTTATTTCAACGTCGAGCAGTTTGTTTGTTTTTTCAAAATACCAATTCAATAAGAAAATATACAAGTACTGAGACTTCAAAAAAATTAATGAAAAAAGGCTATTTAAAGTAAAATTTCGTTGAAACTTTTTTTATTTGATGCATTTGTAATTGTATCTCTACTTGTATCACAACCTTGGGAAACAATCTTTTGATCATTAATGTGTATTTTTACGCGTTTCTTTTTTAACTTTATTTTAACGTCACAGTCTAAGAATTTGCGTCACATCTTAACCACTCTATTCTTTAAACATAGTGATATTCTACTTTCTGATGGAATTTTTCAACTTGACGGGAAACTTTCAGCAATAGCTGACCTTTACTCGCATTTAATGATTATTCATAGACTAATAGTATCAAATATATTAATAAAATAAAATATAAACTTAGAATGGCAAATAAACTAATAACAACCAATAAACTAAAACATTTCAATAAACTGAGAGTTTAAATATTTTTTGTGAATCAGATGATATAAGAGTGGAACCTCTATTTTAAAACTGGCTATTCTTTTTTGAAAATGATAAAAAGGTAAATTAGTAAATTAAAATAGCAGTTACTTAGTTGTTTTTAATATTTTATTATTTTTTTCCCTCTCTTTGTCTCTTCATACAATAATGTCTTAAAACTCTTATTTTTAAGAAAAAATTGATTATTTTAATCAATATATATATATGTATAGATCTATATATATATATATATATATATATATATATATA